TTGTGAGGGATACATGTAGAACCCGATGAAATCATTTCCTTGCGAGGGATACATGTAGAACCCAATAAAACGAATGAAATCATTTACTTGTCAGAGATACTTGCAGAATGTAAGGGAAGCGTTTTGTTACAATTCGGTTCCATTTGTATTTTTATATAAATATTCACTAATAAAAGAAATGATTTACCTAGAAGAGTTCCATGTAGAACCCAATCACTAAATTCTCATCTCCTTCCAAGTCTTTTTCAGTATTTGCAGCTTATAGATGAATAACAATCCCCGGTGATCCTACCATGGAAGCTCTTGTTCTGGCACTTCCTGTTATAGGGTGACAACCCTCTGGTCCTGCGTTGTCACCCATGTCACATGGGAGTGGTCATGTCCTGCCTCCCAGTCATGGTCTCCCCTGCGTTGTCACCCTGTCACATGGGAGTGGTTGTTTTACCACACACAGTGCACTGTTGTCACCCGCCCTGAGAAATGTCAGACAGTCATCACTGGAGGGCATGTAGACAGGAAAGTGGCTGCCAAGAGGCTGCAGGAGATCAGCAGTGACGGTGAGGGGGGGGAGGTGTAATTGTTTATGATACACTAAAGCAGGCCATAGACATTTCGTTTATCGGCCGATTTTTCATCCGAAAGAATAATTGGACGATTTTCGCACTGTTAGTTGGGCAATGGCATCGGCCTTCGCGTTCTATTTTCGCGGTTCCTCCTCATTTCTTTCATCGGTCATGCTGGAAAATTTGTGAAAAATGGCCGTTTTTCGCAATCGCAATCATTGGTGGCAACCAGGGGCGGACTGACCATTTGGGAGCTTGGGCACTGCCCGAGGGCCCCGGGGTCAGTAGGGGGCCCCATGAAATCCCCCTGATACCTTTTCATAGGCTTTTTTGGGTGTGGTTTGAGTGTGGGTGAGGACACAGGGGCCCCATGATCCCCTGTTGCCCGGGGGCCCCATGATCCCCTGTTGCCCGGGGGCCCCATGAGTTGTCAGTCCACCCCTGGTGGCAAAAGAACGAACAATGTTTTGTTTTTCAGATGAAAAATCGTCCAATAAACGAACCGTCTATGGCCTGTCTAAGGGGTTGGTCTACTAAAGGCAAATAGACTGGGCACTTGCAAGGTGCACTTAGTAAATGAGGGGAAGCTTCACTTTGCACAGAATACCCAATCACATGCAAGGAAAAAAAAAAAAAAGTTGAATTTTTGCTTGCACATGATTGGACGACGGAAGTCAGCGGAACTTCTGCTCATTTACTGAGCTCTGGAACAACCGCACTTTGCAGAGTGCGCCGTCTATTTGCCTTTAGTAAATCCCCCCCTAAATTTCATCCAGTTGGGGTTTTTTTTTTCTTCTGAAAAGGTTCAGAAAACCTATTTTCGGTGGAAATGCCAAAAAAAAAGGCATCTAATAGAAGGGTGCAAAATAAAGGCCTGAACGTATCAATAAAGGGGTGAGATTGGGACAGCGGGCACTACAAGGGTGAGGCGGGTTGGGGGCCCCGACCTCTGGCTCCTGGATCTGAGGCTGGAGGGGTCTGCAGTGTCCCCAGAGGCTGCATGCCTGTCAATGCCGCTGCCCCTGGCTTCCTGAACTCTGCTCTCCCCCCCTTTTCCATCCACTGGAAGAGGGGGGGGGGGGGGGAAGGGAGATCCTTGGAGCCTGCGAGAGCCGGGGGTGAAGGGAAGGGAGTAGGAGCGTCCTTGGCACCGTTCAGAACCGGAGCGAGTTGACGTGAGCAAAACTGGGTCACCTGCTCCTGCGCCAAGAACGCGGTCTAGCCAGAATTTTTTTCTTTTTGCTGCGGCTTTGACTGTATAGCCAAAAGGTACACGGAAAAAAAAAGAAGTGAAGTCTGCGCACTAACCGACCTCCAGCGCGAGGAAACGTCGCGGCGGAAGGGTTAAGCGCGGTTGGTGCCAAGCTGTGAATCAGTAGAGTTCTTAGAAGTGGGCTGTGATGTTTATGTTGGGTCTTGTAATCTCCCTCCAGTCAGTGTTTAGTTTAGGAGGGGGTCCGCATACGCAGGCCTGCTGGGGGGGGGGGGGCTGCTCTCAGATCTCTGTAGGGCTTTTCGCTGTTTATACCGCGCTGCGCACAAAACGTCTGTTTACATGAGGGATAGTTGTGCTATTTCCTGATCAGCTAGGACTTGCCCGGCTCCTCCGCCTCCGCTCCTCTAAACAAGACCTCCCAGGTTGAAAGGCTCTGGATGGGATTCAGACTGCTGTGTGTCTTTTGAAAAAAAAAAAGGAACACGCAGGCTATCATTCCTCGCCAACAAAGCTTTCCGAATCGCTCAAAGTACAAAATACGTCAAACCGACGCGGGGAATTTTTTTTTTTTTTGACCCAAAAATGAGCCTAACCCTTTCACTCCTGGAGGAGGCAAATTATTTCTGCCCACGGGATAATTGGAGGCAGGAAAGTATAAAGTGAGGGGGGTCATGAAAGTGAGGGGCTCATTAATGGAGGAACTGGATGGCTCAGAGGGGGCGGGACCTGCTATATGGATCAGGGTGTGGATAGGTCTGGAGCTGGATGGTCTCAGAGGGGGCGGACCTGCTATATGGATCAGGGTGTGGATAGGTCTGGCGTTGGATAGCTCAGAGGGGGTGGGACCTGCTATATGGATCAGGGTGTGGATAGGTCTGACTTTGGATGGCTCAGAGGGGGTGGGACCTGCTATATGGATCAGGGTGTGGATAGGTCTGGAGCTGGATGGTCTCAGAGGGGGCGGGACCTGCTATATGGATCAGGGTGTGGATAGGTCTGGCGTTGGATAGCTCAGAGGGGGTGGGACCTGCTATATGGATCAGGGTGTGGATAGGTCTGGAGCTGGATGGTCTCAGAGGGGGCGGGACCTGCTATATGGATCAGGGTGTGGATAGGTCTGGCGTTGGATAGCTCAGAGGGGGTGGGACCTGCTATATTATTATTATTATTATTATTACTACGAGTTTATATGGATCAGGGTGTGGATAGGTCTGGCGCTGGATGGCTCAGGGGGGGTGGGACCTGCTATATGGATCAGGGTGTGGATAGGTCTGGCGCTGGATGGTTCAGAGGGGGTGGGACCAGCTATATGGATCAGGTTCTGGATAGGTCTGGCGTTGGATGGCTCAGAGGGGGTGGGACCTGCTATATGGATCAGGTTCTGGATAGGTCTGGCGCTGGATGGTTCAGAGGGGGTGGGACCAGCTATATGGATCAGGTTGTGGATAGGTCTGGCGTTGGATGGCTCAGAGGGGGTGGGACCTGCTATATGGATCAGGGTGTGGATAGGTCTGGCGTTGGATGGCTCAGAGGGGGTGGGACCTGCTATATAAATCAGGGTGTGGATAGGTCTGGCGTTGGATGGTTCAGAGGGGGCGGGACCTGCTATATGGATCAGGTTGTGGATAGGTCTGACTTTGGATGGCTCAGAGGGGGTGGGACCTGCTATATGAATCAGGGTGTGGATAGGTCTGGAGCTGGATGGTCTCAGAGGGGGTGGGACCTGCTATATGGATCAGGTTGTGGATAGGTCTGGCGTTGGATGGCTCAGAGGGGGTGGGACCTGCTATATGGATCAGGTTGTGGATAGGTCTGGCGTTGGATGGCTCAGAGGGGGTGGAACCTGCTATATGGATCAGGTTGTGGATAGGTCTGGCGTTGGATGGCTCAGAGGGGGTGGGACCTGCTATATGGATCAGGGTGTGGATAGGTCTGGAGCTGGATGGTTTCAGAGGGGGCGGGACCTGCTATATGGATCAGGGTGTGGATAGGTCTGGCGTTGGATAGCTCAGAGGGGGTGGGACCTGCTATATGGATCAGGTTGTTGATAGGTCTGGCGTTGGATGGCTCAGAGGGTGTGGGACCTGCTATATGGATCAGGGTGTGGATAGGTCTGGAGCTGGATGGCTTTTGCTGCACAGATCAGAGTGGGTAGGAGAGGAGCGGGATAGCTCCGAGGGGCAGGGCTTTGTTGTATGGGGCAGGTCGTGGATAGGGGGGGGTGCAGGATGGGTTAGAGGGTGCCGATAGTTGGAGAGCTGAATGGTTCAGATGGGTGGAACTATGTTCTACAGATCAGGTTGTGGGTAGGTGGGGGCTGGGTGGCTCAGAGGGGACAGGCCTTTGCCGAACACATCAGGTAGCACATAGATGGGGGGCGGGACAACTAAGCAGGGGCAGGCCTTTCCTGTACAGGTCAGGTTGTGGATAGGTGGGGAACAATATGAATATTGAAAGACATTTGGAACCATACCTTAAAATGAAGTCGAATTCAGACCCTGCAAGCATCAGGACTCCGAGAAGAGTGGAAATGGCGCCGTCCAACACTGGAGCGAACATGTGTTCCAGAGCAAGGATGGAGCGCTGGTTCCGGTCACCGATAGCAGTCAGGAATCCCTGGAAGAGAACACAGAGGTATCTGTATACAATCTTCGGTCTAAGCAGCTTCATTTTCCTAGCAGTGCTGAGTCTCATATAATCAGCTATAAAAAGAGAAAATTCTCCAAAATGGCGGCCCATCAAAATGTTGACTTACCAGAGCCACATGGACGGTGAACTCAACGCCGATGCCGACGGAAGCGATGAGAATGACCACTGGAATGGCGCTCAGCTTAATGCCGATGAGGCCCATAATTCCAAACAGCTCCACTGTCATCATAGCCAAGATGAAGACCTACAGGCACAAAGAAAGATGGTGATAACCTGATGTCTGAGTAGCTAAGTGGTTGTCACTCATAGGAGGCCACACCAAAGGGCCACACATATTCTGCTTTATATATGATGCTACAGAAGGTGGTCATAGACTGAAGAATAACTAGAGGGTCAGAGACTGGGGACATGTAACATGGGACTTCTAGATATCACGGTTATGACTGGGTGCCTGTGGCCCTTGGGCGGCAGGTTGGGCACCAGGGATCCAGCCACATGGTGGTACTCCTAGCCACATAACACAATCTATAAAAATGTCAGACCATCTGCAGGTACGTACAATGATGCCAGCGGTCCACGGATTGAGCAGGAGGATAGCGCACACCAAGAAGGTACAAGCCAACACGATGCTTATGGCCAGGAGGAACCAGTGCCGGAGCCCGATGTACTGCTCCCAGAAGAGGAAGGGGTACCCGCTGGGGTAGCTGTACACTCCTTGCTTCACAAACTCATCGCACACCGATCGCACGCTCTCGATCGCCTCGATAAAGTCCGACGTCTGGCGCAGACCATTCAGGTAGAATGGAAACTGGGCAAACTCGATGGGTTCTGCCGCTGGGACTGAAGAGAGGGAAGCAGAGAGGTCAGAGACCTTTATTGATCCAGCTACGGTGTATTAGCCAATGACAATGCGTTCACCACCATAAACCTACTTCTCAGGTTCTCCCCGGTCGTATCGTAGCGGTCGTGGATCCACTCGGGCGGCTGGGGGTAAAAATTCGCCTGGGAGGCAGCATAGCCTAAGGGGTCGTTGCTGACCCAAACCGTTAGGTAGATGTAGAAAGCGTCTTGAGGGGGATGAGGCCGTTCTCGTCCACCAAACGCCGACTGCTTAGCTGTTCAGAAGAACATTTCTGATTAGAGAAAGATCATCGAGGAAAGACTGGAGCTGAAGTCTAATCTGATTATATTTTCCCCCTCCCCCCCATCAACATTTCCATCACATATCTTCTTATACTCCATGTGATGTCATCGCTGGGTCTGAACGAACAGACCGAATGCAGATGCTCAGCAGCTGCGGACAACGACTTTACCTGGTCAAGATTTAGGGGATCTTTCTTATTCCCGGTCTGAATGAGAAGTTTGTAGGCCAGGACTCCGTCTTCGGTGCCGTTACGGTAATTGTCTGGTGCGATGTGACCAGATTCCCAATCGTTGTCAAATGCGGCCTGGAGACCTGGACAAGACGAGGAGATCAGAAGAACAATGACTATTAGTATATAGGTGAGGTGACTGATCTGTCCTACTTCTACTCCAAAGCGTCAGCTCTGAGGACGAGATATTAGCGATGGCCAATAAGCAGAACTCTTACACTACATGGTGGTTCCTCTGCCACTGAGGAGCAGCAGAAGACTACCATGCAGACCTTGCTCATCATTCCTGTCTCACCTCTCAGCCAATCCTGGAAATAATGGAGCCACATTTTGGGCAGCTCCCTCCCTTCTTCTCGGACAACATATTTGACGGAGCCGAAGGACTCGTGAAGATCATAAAAAGCCGTCTGGGATTTTGGGTAGTCGAAGCCACCTTTGGTAATGATGAACATGTTGTAGAAGGAGAAATATTTGAACTGGGCAGAGATGAAGTTGTATTCTTTGGTCTCCCGTGGGACAATGTCTGTCAGGTAAAGACCATCGTGGACCATGGTGGTTCCATACAGGCCAAGGCCTAACAGCGCCATGAACAAGGCCACCACAATGCCCTGCAGAAAATAAAGAGTTATGAGTATCCAAGTCTAGTATGAACTATACCAGTGGTCTCCAAACTGCAGCCCTGGGGCAGGATGTGGCTCTTTTCTTGCCTTTATCTGGCCCTTGAGGCATAATTCCTCTTACTGACACCAATGATGGGGCACTATTTCTCCCACTGATACCAATGATGGGGCACTATTCCCCCCACTGACACCAATGATGGGCACTATTCCTCCCACTGATACCAATGATGGGGCACTATTCCTCCCCACTGACACCAATGACGGGACACTATTCCTCCCACTGACACCAATGATGGGGCACTATTCCTCCCACTGACACCAATGATGGGGCACTATTCCTCCCACTGACACCAGTGACGGGACACTATTCCTCCCACTGACACCAATGATGGGGCACTATTCCTCCCACTGACACCAATGATGGGGCACTATTCCTCCCACTGACACCAGTGACGGGACACTATTCCTCCCACTGACACCAGTGACGGGACACTATTCCTCCCACTGACACCAGTGACGGGACACTATTCCTCCCACTGACACCAATGATGGGACACTATTCCTCCCACTGACACAAACAATGGGCCACTATTCTTTCCACACCAATGAAGGGACACTATTCCTCCCACTGACACCAACGATGGGGCACTATTCCTCCCATTGACACAAACAATGGGGCACTATTCCTTTCACTGACACCAACTACTTCTCTGCCTTATACCAAAAATTGGGCATTGTTTACTCCCCCTGGAGTACAGTGTGGCTCCCCTAAAGCCTGATGGACAATGAACTGGCCCTTTCTTCAGAAAGTCTGGAGACCCCTGACCTATACCATCACATCTAAAATCTGCAGTGCGCTCAGTGCTATTACCTTGGTCTCAGGTTTGAGCAGCAGAGGGGCGTACTTCTCTCGAGCAAACTGAGACAGGCTCCACTTTAAGAAAGGCAGCGGGACGCACTCTCGGCTTGCTTTGGTGTCATCCAGTTGGGCCAGCAGATCCCGGGTGGAGCTGGAGGAGTTGAACACCTGGGAGCCGAGAGGATCCATCGTGGGCATGATGACGGATGGTGAGGTAGAGATCTGGGAGGTGGGCGGCAGGATGGTGACAATATGGTGTCCAGACGAGTCACATTGGGTGAAGGCCTGCACGGTGGTGGTGATCTGGGTGCTGGTAGTGATTGTGGGGTTGCCGTATGGGGATGGGTGGTAAGTGTGATTGTCATTGGCATCAGGGATTTCCTGAGGTTGAATCTGGATCACTCTGGAAGAGCAGGGGCTGCCGTAAGAGAAAAGAAAGGATGGTCACTTCAGAGATACAAAAAACAGAAAATGTGACATCTGAAGCATTGGAAGAAGCTTGGTAGATCTCTATGGCCTACCTGTAGAAGCAGCAGAGGATATCCAACCTCTGGTCCTCCCGACGCTGCAGGTCCAAGCTCAAGATGGCTGGAAATATTAACAAAACCATCGCAAAATTGAACACAACCACCACGGCAGCCTGGAAGAGACAAATCGGAGAGATGAAGGAGATACGTGCCATCAACGTTGTCCCATCTGCTCATGAGAGCCATAATTACAAACAAATCATCCTTTGGAGAGAAGCCAATAAAGCTACCAATATATGTCTTGGAGGAAACGCAAACCCTGGAGGACAGACGAGCTCCAAGCTGGGACAAGTCCTAATTATGAAGCCACCCGCCTTGCCTCATTTTATGGAAACACTTTTATAATGAGGTGTTCTTCAGGCAGCAGGATACACAAGAACCATACGGCCTCTCCAACTGGAGATAAAGCTGTAATAACATTCCACGCGGCACACTGTATACGGCTCTGTATACACATCCTGACATCTCCAGACCTTCTGTCCATCCTTATGTTCTGGCCTTATCTCCCAGACCACCCAGAGAGGCAAGTGGAGAAGCCCTCCCTCCCCTCCCCAGATGCCCTCAGGGAAGTGACATCTGAATGCATCCGAGCCCTTTGTACTCAAGTCACCTTTCACCTGATCAGCTCCTTGGATCACCATTAGAGACCTCAAGAAGGGTGTCACCTTTCACTGGCCTCTGGGGTCACTGGGATGGGAAGGACAGTGATGGACAGACCCCCTCCCCCCCTCCTGATATCACTTTCTAGAGGCTAAAATATAAGACTTTCAATGTTTTTCCTCCAAAGAAATCCTGCTCTCTATCTACCTCTTCACTCCCTCTCGTGATCACCTCCAGAACTTCTCCAGAGCCTCCCCCATCTCCTGGAACTCCCTACCTCAATCTGTCAGGCTGTCTCCAATTCTGTTGGCCTTTAGGCAATACCTTGAAAACTCTTTTCTGCAAAGAACTTCCACTTTCTCCATCAACTTGTCTCAACACAGTTATTTCCTTTTGTATCACTTAACCCTCCCTTTTAGGTTGTATACTCGCACCCGCGAGGCCTCCTGAACCTCTTGTCTTGAATTCTCTTGTAATTGCACTGTATCCTTTTATGTGGTAAAGCATTGCGCCAACCGTTGGCTCTATAACAGTGGTCTCCAAACTGCAGCCCTTTGCTTGCTTTTATCTGGCCCTTGGGACACTATTTCATCCACTGACACCAACAATGGGGCAAATCTCCCCCCATTGACATCAAAAAAGGGGCACAATTCTGCCCAATGACACCAAGAAAATGGCAAAATTCCTCCCCATGACACCAAGGATATAGCACAATTCCTTCCCATGACACCAATGAAGGGGCACAGTTCCTCTCAATGACACCAACAATGGGACCCAATGTCACCAATGATGGGGCACAATTCCTCCCAATGATGTGAACAATGGGGCATATTTTCTCCCAATAAAACCAACGATGGGAGCTAATGTCACCAATGATGGGGCACAATTCCTCTCAATGACACCAACAATGGGACCCAATGCCACCAATGATTGGGCACAATTCCTCCCAATGACAAGAACAATGGGGCACAATTCCTCCCAATAACACCAACTAAGGGGTAAAATTCCTACTAATGACACCAACAAAGGGGCAACATTCCTCCTAATGACACCAGGAATATGGCACAATTCCTCCACATGACACCAACAAATGGGCACAATTTCTCTTAATGATACCAACAATGGGACCCAATGGCACCAATGATAGGGCACAATTCCTCTCAATGATGAGAACAATGGGGCTCATTTTCTCTCAATAAAACCAACGATGGGACCTAATGGCACCAATGATGGGGCACAGTTACTCCCTATTAAACCAACAAAGGGGCACAGTTCCTCCCAATGACACCAACGAAGGGGCACAGTTCCTCTCAATGACACCAACAATGGGACCCAATGGCTCCAATGATAGGACACAATTCCTCCCAATGATGAGAACAATGGGGCTCATTTTCTCCCAATAAAACCAATGATGGGACCTAATGGCACCAATGATAGGGCACCATTCCCCCCAATGACAACAACTAAGGGGCAAAATTCTTTTCAATGACACCAGGGATATGGCAAAATTCCTCCCAGTGACACTAATGAAGGGGCACAGTTCCTTTCAATGACACCAACAATGGGACCCAATGGCACCAATGACAGGGCACAATTCCTCTAAATGACATAAACAATGGGGCACACTTCCTCCCAATGACACCAACGATGGGGCATTGTTTTCTTCCACTGATGCCGAGACATTTTTTACTCCCAATGGCCACAGTCCAGCCCAGTCTGAAGGACAGTAACCGGCCCCTTGTGTAGTATGTTTGGAGACCCTGGTCTATATAAATCCTGTATAATAAAAAACTGGCCATATTGGGAAGACCACCATCCTCTTTGTCATTGGAATGGTTGCCGCTGGGAGCGCAAATATGGCAGCAACGTTCACTGCGGTACGTCCCAACCCCACACAGCATTCTATTGGTAATAACCGGCTAACATATCCTCAATGACACCCAAAGAGCTGACAGAACAGAGAGCTGGCCTTACCTGCAGAGAAAAGGCCCTCAGTGCCGGGATTGGCACCAAAGCCGCCATGAAAAAGGCAATCATGTTATTGATGGAAGTCAGAGCCACGCTGGTACCGGTACGCCTGAGGCATTCGCCCGTCCTTTCCTGAGATGGAGAGGGAAACAGAAGTATGAGGAGCCTCGCCCACCCAGGGTTGTTGGCGGTGGTGGTGTCACTGGGTGGCAATTCTTTACATACCTTCAGTGGGGTGCTCCGGCTGGTTTCAGTGAAGGCGTGCGCTAAGAGGAACATGTCATCCACGCCGATTCCCAGCGCAAGGAAGGGCAGGACCTGTAAAAGAACGGCAGATGGTTTGTCAGAGGAGCGGACCTCCCAAATCCTCGTCTCATTTCAAGGACCAGAATGTATTTTTAGCCATTATTGGGGAGTTTATTGGCCATTGTTGACCTTTCACTTTTTATTGCCTTGTAATGTTGGCATCTGGCTGACCCTTATATATCCATAGAATCTATACATAGACAGTCCGAGACTCACATCCAACATGGCCGACGCTCAGCCAACCGCGTTCCCCTAAAATAACAAGGAGAGGAGAATGGGCGTACCTGGGTGGTGGCGGCATTGAAGGAGATCCCAAGTAGAGAGCAGAGCCCCAGGCCTGAGGCCACGGACAGGGCCACGAGGAGGACACCGGCCAAACCCACCGCACCTTGAGACTTGGAGCAATCCCAACGCAGCATGGTGACACAAGCATACGCCAACTGGAAGGAGAGAAGGAAGGTGAAGGAAGGCCGAACCCCAGGCAGATATTCAAACTCGTTTTCATTCATACATCAATAAATATATATTTGTAAAACCAACTCACATGGAAGAAAAATATATCTGAAATACATGTAAAAAATATTCTTCCCAAATATATTGCCTTATATTCGAAATGCTACAATTTTGGCCGTATTCAATATATTTCAATAAATAAATAATAAATATAAATATATATTGAAATATTTGAAACATGCAGTATACTATATATATATATCTGTGTGTGTGTGTGTGTATATATATGTGTGTGTGTGTATATATATATATATGTGTGTGTGTGTGTGTGTATATATACAGTTGTGTCCAAAATTATTCAACCCCCAATGCTGTAAAGGGGTTTAGGGACTATAGTGTACATTTGGAATTGTATTCAGAATCAAATCCTACAAGGACGTTGTAACTACCCAAATGCAACTAAAATGACATCAATTGTTTATGTAATACAGTAGTAAATGGTTCTTATGTGGTTTCTTCATTGCCACAATTATTCAACCCCTTAAAGACTACCACTCTGAAGAACAGAGGTTCATACAGGTGCTTTCCATCAGGTATTGAAAACACCTGTGGATGTCACCGAGCAGCAATCAAGCATAATAAGCACCAATTAGGCAGCTTTAAAATGACTGTGATACTCAGCTCCTTCTAGACATTTACTGGTGTGGTTACAAACATGGTGAAGGCAAGAGAATGGTCCAGGAAGACAAGAGAAGAGGTGATTTCTCTTCACAGGAAGGGCAATGGCTATAAGAAGATTGCAAAGATGTTAAACATACCAAGAGACACCTTAGGAAGCATCATTCGCAAATTCAAGGCAAAGGGCACTGTTGTTGAAACGCTACCTGGTCGTGGCAGAAAGAAGATGCTGACTTCGACTGCTGTGCGCTACCTGAAGCGTAGAGTGGAGAGAAGTCCCCGTGTGACTGCTGAGGAACTGAGAAAAGATTTGTCAGATGTGGGTACAGAAGTTTCAGCCCAGACAATAAGACGCACACTGCGTAATGAAGGCCTCCGTGCCAGAACTCCCAGGCGTACCCCCTTGCTGTCTCCAAAGAATAAGAAGAGTCGACTGCAGTATGCCAAAAGCCATGTGGACAAACCACAAAAGTTGTGGGATAGTGTTCTGTGGACTGATGAAACAAAATTAGAACTGTTTGGGCCCATGGATCAACGCTATGTTTGGAGGAGGAAGAACAAGGCCTATGATGAAAAGAACACCTTGCCTACTGTGAAGCATGGTGGAGGGTCAATCATGCTTTGGGGCTGTTTTGCTTCTGCAGGTACAGGGAAGCTTCAGCGTGTGCAAGGTACCATGAATTCTCTTCAGTACCAGGAGATATTGGATGGAAACGTGATGCAGTCCGTCACACACCTGAGGCTTGGGAGACGTTGGACCTTTCAACAGGACAATGATCCCAAGCATACCTCCAAGTCCACTAGAGCATGGTTGCAGAGGAAAGGCTGGAACATTTTGGAGTGGCCATCGCAGTCACCAGACTTAAATCCGATTGAGAACCTCTGGTGGGACTTAAAGAAAGCAGTTGCAGTGCGCAAGCCTAAGAATGTGACTGAACTGGAGGCCTTTGCCCATGAAGAATGGGCGAAGATACCCGTAGATCGCTGCAAGACACTTGTGTCAAGCTATGCTTCACGTTTAAAAGCTGTTATAACTGTAAAAGGATGCTGTACTAAGTACTAAGATTGAATGTCACTTGGGGGTTGAATAAAACTGATAATGCTGTGAGCACAGAAAAGACATTTGTGGTTATTTCATTATAACTGTTATGTTATATTTGTCTGACCTACAAGTGCCTCTTTAATGTAAATGTAAGCAAGATGACTGAATGATCAAAAGCAATGTCAAACTGGCCAAAACACTCAATTTCAGTGGGGGTTGAATAATTTTGGACACAACTGTATGTGTGTGTGTGTATATATATATATATGTGTGTGTGTGTGTGTATATATACACTGCATGTTGAGATGCATTTTCAAATATTTCAAAATATATTTCAATAAATAAATAAATAAATAAATAAATATATATATATATATATATATATATATATACACATATACTGCATGTTGAAATGTGTGTTTTTATTAAAAAAATATATGAAAAATATTTTTAAAATTACATTTCAAATATATTATTATACAGGATGTCTTTAAAAATATAAATCATTTTTGGAATGCATTTATATGCATATATATGTCAAAATATATGTTAAATCGACTTTTTTTTATATGTTAAAAAAAATCTGAAGAATATATTTTAAAAAAATATATTTTTAAAAATAATTCTCGTATATTTTGTAAAATATAAAAAAAGCATTTCAACATGCAGTATATTTTACATGTATGTATATATATATATATATATATATATATATATATATATATATATATATATATATATATATATATATTACTATTATTATTATACAGGATTTATGGCACCAACAGTTTGCTCAGCGCTTTACTATATATATATATATATATATATATATATATAAATTAAAAAAAAATATATATATATATATATATATATATGTGTGTGTGTGTATTTTTTTTTTTTTTTTTGTAATTGAAATATATTGAATACGGCCAAAATTGTTGCATTTCAAATATATTTTTTTTCCATATGAGAAGTATCAGGCTCTTGCAGTCACCGTACAGCAGAGCTCAGACTTGCAGGAGAAGCAGCGCAAGGAGCCAATAGTTTGTTGTGCTGCAGTGCTCATATGCAAACAATGACCACACTGATAGGAGGAGAGAGCAGAATGACGGGGAGATAACTCATCGCTTCTCCTTTTACTGCCCAATCACAGGCTGGGGGGAAGGGACAAGACCTGTCACTGTTACTGAACTGCAGCAGAGAAAAATGAGGTCTCCTGTCCTGCCAGACAGGACTGTGCTGGGCGGCGGAGCTGTGTCATGCCTAGGTGTGGATGGACAGAAATACAAATCCTTTGGCAGATGACTTTCACTAAACATTCACCGGTGGTGCGTCAATCAGTACCAGACTGATGACAACCATGACGTGTCGGTAATATTTCGTACCATCAGCAGGTAGCCGCCGGCGACGCGGATGGCGCTGACGTCGGAGAAGGACTTCATGATGTCATTCAGGGTGGTGGTGGAAAAGGCGTGAATGTCCTGGGAGGCGTTCTGCCCGACGGACTGCTGCGCTTGCTGCGGGAAAGAAGGAAATCACGTGGTCAGAGATCCGTCCAAGAGGTGACAAAGCAACGGGGAGCCCCCAGCCCCTATACCCCCCCCCCATGTCCCTCCCCCCACCCTCCTCTAATCGCAGCAGTGGGGTCCTATCAGAATCCAAAAGAGGAGGACTGTCAGTGCAGGGGGGGCTGTAGGGCACATCGGCATCAATGGATTATCAGCCCCCCATGCAGGATGGGTAGAAGGGGGTTAATATTTGCCCAGGTTGGGTTGTAATTCCCCCCCCCACCCCCCCCCCCCCCGCCGGCCTCACAGAGCAACACCATTTATTGGACAGAAAGATTTTTTTTTTGCTCACCTCAACAAATTTCCTCTGCCACGTCTCCAAGATGGCGGCCGCCTTCTCCTCGTTCCAGTTGATGTCGTGGATCTCATAGTCATCTTTGAAGTGTTCGTACAGCTGACCGGGGCTCATCAGGAGGTACATTGTCTGCAGAGCTTCAGCGCTGCAAAATCCGTACAACAGATGGGGGTCAGACAACTGGACTGTGGGATGTGCCACCAGATTGTACAGAATTGGCACCAGATTGTACAGAATTGGCACCAGATTGTACAGAATTGGCACCAGATTGTACAGAATTGGCACCAGATTGCATTTAATAGACACCATATTGTACAGATTTGCCACCAGATTGTGCAGATTTGGCACCAGATTGTTCAGATTTGGCACCAGATTGCACAGAACAGACACCAGATTATATAGATTTGGCACCAGGTTGTGCGGGTTTGGAACCAGATTGTACAGTTTTGGCACTAGATTTTCCAGTATTGGCACCAGATTGCACAGAATTGTCACCAGGTTGTACAGAACAGAAAACAGATTGTACAGAATTGGCACCAGATTTTCCAGTTTTGGCACCAGATTATACAGTTTGAACACCAGATTGTGCAGGTTTGGCACCAGATTGTGCAGATGTGGCACCAGATTGCACAGATTTGGCACCAGATTGTGCAGGTTTGGCACCAGATTGCACAGATTTGGCACCAGATTGTGCAGGTTTGGCACCAGATTGCACAGATTTGGCACCAGATTGCACAGATTTGGCACCAGATTGCACAGATTTGGCACCAGATTGCACAGATTTGGCACCAGATTGTGCAGGTTTGGCACCAGATTGTGCAGGTTTGGCACCAGATTGTGCAGGTTTGGCACCAGATTGCACAGATTTGGCACCAGATTGTGCAGGTTTGGCACCAGATTGTGCAGGTTTGGCACCAGATTGCGCAGATTTGGCACCAGATTGTGCAGGTTTGGCACCAGATTGCGCAGATTTGGCACCAGATTGTGCAGATGTGGCACCAGATTGCACAGATTTGGCACCAGATTGTGCAGGTTTGGCACCAGATTGCACAGATTTGGCACCAGATTGTGCAGGTTTGGCACCAGATTGCGCAGATTTGGCACCAGATTGTGCAGGTTTGGCACCAGATTGCGCAGATTTGGCACCAGATTGTGCAGATGTGGCACCAGATTGCACAGATTTGGCACCAGATTGTGCAGACTTGGCACCAGATTGCGCAGATTTGGCCCCAGATTGCGCAGACTTGGCACCAGATTGCGCAGACTTGGCACTGGATAACACAATACACCTCATACCTCTTCAGCTCTCCATCTGCTCCTTTCACCATCCCTCCCATGATGAGATCCTTCTGCCAGTACATAAACTTCTTGGAAAAGCCATGGCAGCCGTTCCGGAGGGTGGCGACGATATCGGGGCTCTGAAAGAAAACAATTTGCAAAATTTAGAGATGGGATTATATTTTGCTGAACAAAGAAAGAAACAAAAAGGCCCATCAGATGGCGGTAATATCAGGTCTGGCACTTCCCGGCACGGGGGGGCCGATCCGGACCGAGGAGAAGACCAGCTCAGGTGCTCCATCAGGTGGGGGTGTTGAAACGTGTAATAATTCCGGACCAGAAGCCTCTGCAGAAATGGTTCACAGCTCATGGGAGGGGGCAGCTCATGGGGGGGGCAGCTCATGGGGGGGGCAGCTCGGGGGGGCGCAGCTCATGGGGGGGGGCAGCTCATGGGGGGGCAGCTCATGGGGGGGGCAGCTCGGGGGGAGGGCAGCTCATGGGGGGGGGGCAGCTCATGGGGGGGGGGCAGCTCATGGGGGGGGGGGGGGGCAGCTCATGGGGGGGGCAGCTCGTGGGGGGGCAGCTCATGGGGCAGCTCATGGGGGCGCAGCTCATGGGGGGGGGGCAGCTCATGGGGGGGGGCAGCTCATGGGGGGGGGGGGGGGCAGCTCTTGGGGGGGCAGCTCATGGGGGGCTGCTCATAAGGGGGGGCAGCTCATGGGGGGGCAGCTCATGGGAGGCAGCTCATGGGGGGCAGCTCATGGGGGGGCAGCTCATGGGGGGGCAGCTCATGGGAGGCAGCTCATGGGGGGCAGCTCATGGGGGGCGCACTTTGGTCCTTTTCCTTGGGTGTCAGCTGGTCTTGTCCCAGCACAGTGGGACTGTCAGTTCCTGGGGGTCCCCCTTACCCACACCCCCCCCCCCCCCGCCATTTCAATAGACTCACGTTTTGTGACTTCTTGTTGGGGGCGCTGTCTGGGCACTCCGAGTCGGAGGGGTCAAGGCAAGAACGCTCCATGTACGCCTGGCCCACCTCCGCCTTGTCCAGCATCTCTTTGAAGCCATCCAGGCTGGTGAACTGACCGAGCTCCTCCATCAGCTGGATCGGGTCCAAGTTTGTCCACTGGATGTCCCGCCTTCCCCTGAAAAAGAATCATCCAAGTTACTCACTGAAATATTTCTGTGCAATCAACAGCGCTGCGGTATATGTCAGAGCTATACACATGTAATAATAATAGTGTGTGACTGGGGGGAGGGGACATTAGAGTGTAAGCTCCTCTGGTACAGAGACTGATGGTACTGTGGGGGAGGGGACATTAGAGCGTAAGCTCCTCTGGTACAGAGACTGATGGGACTGTGGGGGAGGGGACATTAGAGCGTAAGCTCCTCTGGTACAGAGACTGATGGGACTGTGGGGGAGGGGACATTAGAGCGTAAGCTCCTCTGGTACAGAGACTGATGGGACTGTGGGGGAGGGGACATTAGAGCGTAAGCTCCTCTGGTACAGAGACTGATGGGACTGTGGGGGAGGGGACATTAGAGCGTCAGCTTCTCTGGTACAGAGACTGATGTGACTGCGGGGGAGGGGACATTAGAGTGTCAGCTCCTCTGGTACAGACTGATGTGACTGTGGGGGAGGGGACATTAGAGCGTAAGCTCCTCTGGTACAGAGACTGATGGGACTGAGGGGGAGGGGACATTAGAGTGTCAGCTCCTCTGGTACAGAGACTGATGGGACTGCGGGGGAGGGGACATTAGAGCGTAAGCTCCTCTGGTACAGAGACTGATGGGACTGTGGGGGAGGGGACATTAGAGCGTAAGCTCCTCTGGTACAGGGACTGATGTGACTGTGGGGGAGGGGACATTAGAGCGTCAGCTTCTCTGGTACAGAGACTGATGTGACTGCGGGGGAGGGGACATTAGAGTGTCAGCTCCTCTGGTACAGACTGATGTGACTGTGGGGGAGGGGACATTAGAGCGTAAGCTCCTCTGGTACAGAGACTGATGGGACTGAGGGGGAGGGGACATTAGAGTGTAAGCTCCTCTGGTACAGAGACTGATGGGACTGTGGGGGAGGGGACATTAGAGTGTAAGCTCCCCTGGCACAGAGACTGATGTGAATGTGGGAGAGGGGACATTAGAGTGTCAGCTCCTCTGGTACAGAGACTGATGGGACTGTGGGGGAGGGGACATTAGAGTGTCAGCTCCTCTGGTACAGAGACTGATGTGACTGTGGGGGAGGGGACATTAGAGTGTCAGCTCCTCTGGTACAGAGACTGATGTGAATGTGGGGGAGGGGACATTAGAGTGTCAGCTCCTCTGGTACAGAGACTGATGGGACTGTGGGGGAGGGGACATTAGAGTGTAAGCTCCCCTGGCACAGAGACTGATGAGACTGTGGGGGAGGGGACATTAGAGTGTCAGCTCCTCTGGTACAGAGACTGATGGGACTGTGGGAGAGGGGACATTAGAGTGTCAGCTCCTCTGGTACAGAGACTGATGAGACTGTGGGGGAGGGGAAATTAGAGTGTAAGCTCCCCTGTACAGAGACTGATGTGACTGTGGGGGAAGGGACATTAGAGTGTAAGCTCCCCTGGCACAGAGACTGATGAGACTGTGGGGGAGGGGACATTAGAGTGTCAGCTCCTCTGGTACAGAGACTGATGTGACTGTGGGGGAGGGGACATTAGAGTGTAAGCTCCCCTGGCACAGAGACAGATGTGAATGTATCCTCCGCTCTCCAGGAATTGCTCTGGAATATGTTGGTGCCATATTCCTGTCAGCAATGCAGAAGATCACATATATAACCTGTGAAGGATTATCTGTCCCAGGCCCAGAATGCAGCAGATGATGATGGAGGTCGGGGACCGGAGCCGACATGCAGACTGTTTACATTCCACGTTAAGCACTTAGAGGGAAGTTAAGGTGAAGGAAAAAAAATTGATATAAAATGTGTCTTTGTTATTGAAATGCTGTCGCTCGCCTTCACCTCGCAGGATCGGAGTTTGCTCCCGGGGGCCGCATCCCCCCTTAACCAGCGAGGCGTGCCAGATGCCCGAGAAAAAGAGCATGTATTATCCTGTTACACAGAGGAACAAAGCTGTGTGCTGCCATTACTTCAGCGCGCAGCGCAAGTCAGGCCAATTAACAGCGACTCCGTAACATCTTGATAGAGCCGGGGAGCCTGCAAGGCACTCTGGGTAAGGGGATGCGGGAGCGTGGGGCCGCTTGGATGCCTGGGAATAAGACATTATCAGGAGGAAAGGGGATTCCGCCGGATCTGATGCTGGACTGTCCACATGGGAACAATCCCGGCGGGCGACCGGCCTGCAATTAAAGGACCGGCAATTAAAGGACCGGCAATTAAAGGACCGGCAATTAAAGGACCGGCAATTAAAGGACCGGCAATTAAAGGAGCAGTCCACCTAAACCAAAGACGTACAATCAATGATACATCTCTGACACATCGGATCGCATGGTGTCAGCTGACATTGTAGGCTACAAACTAACAACCGGCATCTTTTTTATTGGACAGGAAATCAGTAGCGGGCAGTAAAAAGCGCCCCCCCCCCCCCCCAAATCTGTACTATACTAATTACAACATTGTAACAAGATACGGGATCTCCTCATTTATAAAGGAGCCGTTGTCCGCAGGCGGCTCTACATGTTTGTAAGATCCATTGTATCCAATATTAGACTTTAGGAAACAAATATCCCCGTTGGGGACATAAATCTCTCCAATGAAAAAAGATGGCGGCCATACTGGGGAACTCTATGAAAGTTTGGGGCCCGTGGATAACAGACGATCTCATGACAGATTTAATTGCTTTCTTTTGACTATTGAACACACACTTGCTACAATAATTCTTGGATGTTTCATGGATTCTGGGGGGGGGGGGGTCCCGAAGTCCTATTTCCCCCTTTAGCCCTGATCTGCCCTTTTCTTCACCTCCTCTATACCTCCACTTCCTTTCTTGTCCTAAGACTCGCACTCTTCTTGGCAATGACTTGGCCGTTGGGTTACATAGTTACATAGTTAGTCTGGCTGAAAAAAGACAAAAGTCCATCCAGTTCAACCATAGGAAAAAAAAAGTTATAATCCTCCATCTACAGTAGATCCAGAGGAAGGCAAAAAATCCCAGCAAAGCACGATCCAATCTCCTCCTGCCGGGGAAACATTCCTTCCTGATCCCCCGAGAGGCAATCGGATATTCCCGGGATCAACGTTCCCTATAAATGTTATATCCAGTTATATTCTGTGTATCCATTTTAGTTTCATCTGAAACCTGTGGAGAACTTGAGAGGGACTGCTGGGTCTGGGAGGAGAGTAGCACCACACCTGAAAAGAAGGAAACCACTGGTGATTGGAGAGTCCTTCACACAGAAGGACCAGGGCCAACAAGGGGCCCCAGCTTGTGACAACCAATGGAGCACCACACCTGGAGAGAAGGAGACCACTGGTGATTGGAGAGTCCTACACACAGGAGAACCAGGGCCAACAAGGGGCCCCAGCTTATGACAACCAATGAATTACCACACCTGGAGAGGAGACCACCAGTGATTGGAGAGTCCTTCACACAGGAGTACCAGGGCCAACAAGGGGCCCCAGCTTATGACAACCAATAGAGCACCACACCTGGAGAGAAGGAGACCACCGGTGATTGGAGAGCCCTACACACAGGAGGATCAGGGCCAACAAGGGGCCCCAACTTATGACAACCAATGGAGCACCACACCTGGAGAGAAGGAGACCACCGGTGATTGGAGAGTCCTTCACACAGGAGTACCAGGGCCAACAAGGGGCCCCAGCTTATGACAACCAATGGAGCACCACACCTGGAGAGAAGGAGACCACCGGTGATTGGAGAGTCCTTCACACAGGAGGACCAGGGCCAACAAGGGGCCCCAGCTTGTGACAACCAATGGAGCACCACACCTGGAAAGAAGGAGACCACCGGTGATTGGAGAGTCCTTCACACAGGAGGACCAGGGCCAACAAGGGGCCCCAGCTTATGACAACCAATGGACTGATCTACCCGATCCATAGAAATCTGGAAGTGCTGACTACTATAGACCACTCTATTAGAGGAGGGGCAGGACAGGTCTCTGTGGGCTCTGAAGTTCTATTTGGTGTATGGCTTTCTGATGGCGATGGGTTGGACCTCAGGGACCCTCAGTAGTAGAGGAATTGGGCTGCCCCAATAACAGGTTAATGTATCCCATCTTTGGTTGATCCACCCAACGTGGCCACAATGTGACTTTGGGTAGCAATGTTCCCGGACTTTGGCTGTACCTTTGGCCGATGCCGGATCTCTTGCTGTCTTTGAAAATTGTAAAACCTCAAAAAAAAAAATGCATTGGAATGAAATCTCTCTGAAGAAATGTATCAGAATACAGTTTAAGGAGCTTTCCGCACCTTTTCCACTCCGACCCCGAGACTGAATGTGATGGGAAAATCCAACATTCTGAGTTGTCAGAACAGGAATAGAGGGGGAAATCTTCCTAGGGGTCTAAAATTGGCCCCGGTATGTGTATCAACGTGAGTTAGTGACCTTAGATTGTACGCTCCTCGGGGCGGGGACTGATGTGAATGTACAAAATAGATGTAAATTGACGGCGCTGTATAAGTACCTATAATAAATAATGGGGACACCCGTTCTACACCTTAAGCATGAACCATCCCGCGTTGGATCTACCAAGTGAGCGGGACTGGTGAAGGTTAGATATGGCAATGATGGACCAATGGCATGGCGGCATCGCTAAATGTGGTTCTGTACAAAGTAGAAGGAGCGGCTGTAGTCTAGGACAGTGTGGCCTCCTTCATCTATTGATCCAGCAGCCCCCGTGATGAGTGAACCTTCCTCCTAGCCCTGAATGGGTTAAACTGTGTGATACAATCCTCCCTCATGAAAAGGGGGCTCCATTGCCCGTTTTCGGGCCCCCCAAACAACCGGCTTAGAGAGAGTACGGGTCTCTGCGTCCCCCTTC